AGGGAGAAGACACAAACCTTGGAGTGACCTCTCCACCTTGTTGCATCAGAGCTCCGAAAGAGAACCATACACTATTGTACATGTTAAAATATATAGGACTCTCTTTAGAATTTGCCGATTTCTCACTACAGGTCTCCGGTTCAACTTCATACAAATTCCATTCGGACGGGCTGATTCGGGTGACCAGGTAAAGCACTACAGTAACTCCGATGTAGGCAAATACAACACACGTCCACACGTTCGCTTGAAGTGGTTTCAAGAATGAGAAAATGCCTGGTGTTGAATGATGAGGTTTGCTGAACATAATGCTAATTCCGATATTCATAAACGGTTTTGTGAAGAGTACTACTTTTTCACGCTCTGCGTAAATAGTTAAACCTGCTACGGCCATATCTGCTTTCTGCATAAAAAAAAATCGAATTATATTATGCCCATTAATGAATGGTATGGCCTTTCACGCTTAGTTAAGAATCTAAGCGTTACACCTATGAAAATTGTAAAAATTACAAATATTTTGAGAAATTACACTTTGATTTGAACATTAAGGCTCCGTCCAGATTATCAAATTATTATTATTATTATTATTATTATTATTATTATTATTATTATTATTATTATTATTATTATTATTATTATTACTCCTACTATTACTATTATTATTATTGTTAGGCCTATTATTATTATTAAATATGGTAATGATCCTATTATTATTATTATTATCATTAAATATGGTAATGATGACATCACATAATGACCATATATAGGCACATCATGGCTATATATGGAACATTTGATAGTGTGGAGTTTAAAGTGTTGCTGGCTAGGGTGACCCATATGCTTTTTCTATAAATTATAAAACATTAAATTTAAAAATAGAACCATTTTCATTATGATAATGTAAGTCAAAAAACATGGCTAAAAGGTTCCCCTATAAATTGTTACATTTGAACGTGTTTTCAGGCTCTATTAATTCCGTGGGATGTACAGACAGGCTTCGACGACATAATCACCAATACTCACCCCTGTCATAACCTCTCCTATCATGCCATTCCATGTTCCACTGATGTTCGATCCATACTGTTGATCTGCCACGATTTGAATTCGATATTTAAATTGAATTTTATTCGAAAGGTAGGTAAGCAGGTCAGCACAGTAGCCTTCAAACTGGTCGTTACCAGATTCGTCTTCATCGTCCTTCTTCATTAAAAACGGTTTATCCTATTCATTGACGAAAAAACCCCATAAAAGACAGACTACGAGACTATACTAGCATTAATATATAATATAATAATAATATAATAATAATAATAATAATAATAATAATAATAATAATAATAATAATAATAATAATAATAATAATAATAATTCTGGATTTATATAGCGCCTCACGCTGACACAACCTCGAAGCGCTTGAACATTATTACCCCCGGATCACTGGATCAAGCACATATGGAACACACACTCAAGCCCCATGGGGGAATTCCATAATGTTGCAGCTGTATTCAGCTATTCAGTATTTAATATAGCATTA